ATGGATATGATGACGCTCACCAGGGTCCACCCTTCAAACATGCGCGGCCAAGGGCTCACGGCTATCAGCCTCACAGACCTCGACATCCTCAACGGCTTCGATTCCCAAGCGCAAAGATATACGCCCTTGGCTTTCTCATGGATGTGATGACGCTCACCAGGGTCCACCCTTCGAAAGTGCAAGGCCTCACGGCTATCATTCTCACAGACATCGACACCCCCAGCGGCTTCGACTTTCAAGCACAGCGGTGCACATCTTTGGCATCCTCATGGGTATGATGATGCTCATCAGGGGGAGGGCCCACCCTTCAAGCATGCAAGCGCTCGCGGCTATCATTCTCACAGACATCGACATCCTCAACGGCTTCGATTTTCAAGCACAGAGGTGTAAACATTTGGCTTTCTCATGGATGTGATGACGCTCACCAGGGTCCACCCTTCAAACGTGCAAGCGCTCACGGCCATCATTCTCACAAGCATCGGCGGGACATCCTCAACGGCTTCGACTTTCAAGAGCAAAGATGTACTTCTTTGGCTTTCTCATGCCATGGATGCCCACCAGGGTCCGCCCTTCAATTAAGCGGGAGCCTTTTGAGTGTGGCCATGTCTATGAGAATCTTAAGGAGAAGACCCGGGGGACGTCGATGCCTGTGGGAGGGGTGGGATTGGGCGCCTCCATATCTGAAGGGTGGAACCTCTTGCGCGTCATCATGTCCATGAGAAGGCCAAGCTTGGACACGCCCGCGCGCTCCTGTGGTCGATTGGTGTGCGCGGAAGGTAGTCGCGGAAGAGGGAAACAGATCAGGCAGTCGCGCCCAAAGGCTTGCGCAGCCTGCTGGCCTGGCAAATCGGTCGGGTACTTCACAAATGTAGGGGAACGCAACCGCTTCGGCTGAGTGGGTGGGGCTGCGACAGGCGAGATGGGTGCTGCGTGAAGGCCGACCGCGATCCGATGCGGCTACACGGAAGGCCCCGCCGCTGCGGGAGTCGCGCTCGGTCGGTCTGGCCTGATGTGGTGCTCGGTTTTCGGTCTGCTCTTTGCGGTGGGGGGGTGGGACATCAGGGCTGGGGCCATGTGGGACGCCTCTCAGTTGGGAGGGCCTGCAGAGGACACACAGGGCAACTGCGTGTGGGCAGGTGGATGGTGTTCGCTGGAGGGGCTTGCAAACACACCGCCGAGCACCAGGGCGGAAGCGCTCTGGACGGAACAGGGAGGGGCAACAGGGACGGGAAAACGAGAAAAGCGGCACGGGACTGCGAGCAGATTGCCGGAGGGGACAGGCGGGGCTAGGGTCAGCATGGGCTCGCCGGGGTGTGTGAGGGTGCCGCAGTGAACCCGATGGGAACAAGGGGGGAGGCCTCGGTCGAGAGTAGAGGACAAGGGGGGGGCGGTGTGTAGGGATCCGCGAGATTTCCCGGGGAAATCCATGGACTTCCAGGCGCTGAGGATGATCCAGGGGCGACGGGGTCAAGGCTTAGTGGCGCACTTGGTAAGGACGGCAAAAAACTGGAAGGAGGGAGAACGCGCAAGCCGTGGCTACCAGGCTGCAAGCGAAAGAGCGCGAGAATGGAAGAAGGACCGCGGGGACATGAGACGACGGACGCCGGTGACCTGGAAAGGCTCTCGCATTTCCCGGAAACCTACCTGGAGGAGGCTACTTGGAGGGGGCAGGACTGAGCCCCGAGGAGGTGAAAGAAGTGGCGCGCATATCGCTGAAAGGAAAAAAGTGGCCGCATGTAGGGAACGGCATGCACATCCAAGACAAGCAAGAAGCAGAAGAGCCCGGCAAACTCGTGGAAGACTGGGAACACTTTGAGCAGACAGGGGAAACCATCGACCAAGACAACCGGCGGGGGTGCCCCTTGGGGGTGAAGAAATGCCAGGGGGCACAGTCGGGCACTTTCTGCTGCGGTGTGTGCCAGCTGGTGCACGGCACAGACCAGGCGCGTCAGAAGTGGCTAGAACAGGCCAAAAGGGTAAGGAAGGACGATAAAAGGCCTGGGGCATACGATACCGCGGGGCCAAGCGAATGCGCTGGGACCCGATGACAAAGGTAAAGGTGTGCGCGTGCCCCTACAAAGAGAAGGCGCGGAGCTGGCTGGCGGAGGAACCGGGGAAGTGGTGCGAAGGGTGTCGAAGAATAGAAGGAGGATAAACCTGGGCCACCCACTGCAGGGAAGTAGAGGAGAAAAAAAAGCGAGGACCTTGCGGGGAAGAGCAGGAGGAAAAGGCCAAGGCCCCGAGAAAAAGACAGAGGGAAGAGGGGCGGGAGGATAAGACAAAAAGAGAGGACCAGCGCAAAACCCAAAAGCGAGAAGATAGAGACAGAGGAAAAGAGAAGGGAAGGCAAAAAGAGACCCGCGGGCAAACCGCTGGAGGGACTCAGGGGAGGGAAGAAGCCAAGGAAGCCCCCAGGGGGAGAAAAGGCTGGAGGAGAAAAGCGGCCGGCGGAGGAGCCGCTGATAGATCTCAGAGAAAGGAAGAAAGGGAAGAAGCAGCCAAGAGACCAAGAGGAGGAGAAGGGCAACGCCCCCAAGAAAAAGGACGAGAAGGGGGCAGTGGGGGCGCCGAGCAGCCCCACAGCAGTAAAGAAGAAGCAACAACGAGAACAAAGAGCAAGGCTGAAAGAGAAGAAGAAAGCCAGCACAGAAGTGAAAAAAAAGAAGAGAAAGGGCGGAGGCCTGGCAAAGGGACCGCCGGACGAAATGAGGCCAAGAAGACCACGAAGGGAACAGCGCAGCAAAAAGGAAAAGGCTGAAACGGAGGGGCCGCTTAACGGGCGACCCCCTGACGAAGGGGGAGGCAGTGCAGGAGGGTAAGAGTAAGCGAAGCGGGCTCCCCTCGCCTCCTTGGGGTCCACCGGAGAGATGGCGGGTGCGGGTCTGGCCTCTCTCTGCGGGGTCGAGTAGGGGCGGCCTTTTATCTTAAAGAGGGCGGCCCTCTTAGGTAAAACGGTCGCAGGGGTCATGAGATGGAATCCCGCCAAACCTGATCGCTGGGCTGGCGTCATCATCATCATCATCACCGTCGTCGTCGTCATAACTCCCCCGACACAACGCGGACAGCACCCAAGACGCGGCGCAACCTACCAGGCATCGCGCGACCCCCTAAAGCGCCGCAGCGCAACCCCCCAAGCGCTGCACAGTCTTAAAAACAAAGCCGGACCCCCTGAGCAGGCACAGCCTGAACCTTCGGGCACTATGCAGCCCCCCAGGCACAGCACAACCCCCCGAGGGGACACCGCGCGACCCCCAGGCATGAGGTGACCCCAGAAACCCTATGACCCGCCAGGCACGCAATGACCCTCCAGACACACCACGACCCCCCGGCAGGCACGTGCCACGACTAAAAAGGCACGACGTGACTCCTCAAACGCCGAGCGACCCCCGCAGNTGCCTTCTGCAGCTGCGCCGTCAAGTGCCTGCCTTCTGTGCGCTCAGGTAGTTGCTTCTTGCGTCCTTCAGATAGCTGCCTTTTGCGCCGTCAGGTGCCTGCTTTCTGTGCCCTCAGGTTCTTGCTTTCTGCTCCTGTGCGGCGCCTCGTGAAAGCCTTAAGACTAAGCTCCTGGAACTGGAAGTGGAAGCGCGAGCAAGGCAAGTACCTGAGGGCACAGAAAGCAGGTGCTTGACGTTGACGACGCAGAAACAGAAAGCGGGTAGACGTAGAACTAGGAGTAGAACTAGAAGCAGAAAGCAGGCAGCTGACCTTGACGCTGACAGTGGACAGCTGACGGCGCAGAAAGCAGGTGCCTGCCTTCTGAGCTCTCAGATACCTGCCTTCTGCGCCGTCGAGGGCCTTTGGGTCTGGGTCTGGCTGCCTTCTGTGGCCTTAGCCTCAGCCCTCGCGTACTTGTCGTTGTCGTTGTCTTCTGCACCCTTCAGGTACTTGCCTTCTGCGCCTTCAAGTGCCTGCTTTCTGCGCCCTCAGGTATTTTGTTGTTGTTCTGCGCCTTGCGGTTTCAGATCCCTGCCTTCTGTGCCCTTGAGTGCTTGCCTTCTGCGTCCTTCAGATGCCTGCCTTCTGCGCCGTCAAGTGCCTGCCTTCTGTGCCCTCAAGTACTTTTATTAGACTCTCTTAGTTGCCTTCTGCGCCCTTCAGATGCCTGCCTTCTGCGCCGTCAAGTGCCTGCCTTTTGTTCCCTCAGGTACCTGCCTTCTGCACCCTGGACGCATTTGCCTTGAATCGCCTTGACTCCGTGGCAGCCGGCGACGCTGACACCGTGTGAATGTGACAGACCTGGTCTCCTCTGCGCTTGCTTCCTTCACTTCTCTGCACTCTCTCGCCTTTTGTATGGCGTCACCTTAGAGATCTTGGACGTAGGTCCGCTCTTCGTGGCTTTCCACGAAAACCGGACAGAGGAGAATACGAGCAAACCTCTAGGAGTTCTATCCATATGGATTTGGCGCGTGGCTGCGCCGCGGACTGGTTCGCCGGCTTGTGATGCTCTCGGCGCAGTGGTTGGCTTGTTCGTTTTTGGGTTGCGGTTGTGTCGGCTTCGTTTTAATGAGACAAAGACAAGGGCCGCGCGCGTGACCCTCGGCAACTTTCCGCCAAGATTTTCCGCCGCCGGTGATTGTCGGGCGCGGTGGTCTCCAACGCCAGGACGGAAGTGAAAAAGAAAGGAGAGGGAGGAAGAAGGCCCGCCAAAGGGGCCGCCGGACGAAATGAGGCCAAAAAGACCCCGAAGGGGACAGAGCAGCAAAAGAGAAAGGCCGAAACGGCGGGGCCGCTGGCTTAAGGGGAGACCCCCAGACGAAGGGGGAGGCAGTGCAGGAGGGTAGGAGCAAGCGAAGCGAGGCCCCCTCGCCTCCTTGGGGTCCCCCGGGGAGGTGGCGGGCGTTGGTCTGGCCTCTCTCTGCGGGGTCGAGTAGGGGCAGCCCTTTACCTGAAAGAGGGCGGCCCTTTTAGGTAAAGCAGCCGCAGGGGTGGGATTGCGTCCCACCCCGCCCGGCCGGCGGGCTTGCGTCATCATCATCATCATCATCATCATCATCGTCACCGGTGTGAGAGTTGAGCGGGTGCCGCCATATCGATGAAAGGCGTGGCAGCGAAGACGCCGCCAGTGCTCGCCTTATGTCCTCCGTGAAAACATGACCGAGCTGGCCTTGCTTAAGGCGTTCGTGGCTGCACAGTGCCAGCTGGGACTGGTCTGCCTCGTCGCGTGTGTTGGGAATAATTGGCCGCAGTCTTACCCAAGAAACGAGAACACAAGTCCCCGCATGTTTTGGGCGAGCACGTGCGTTTGTCTTATCTTGGGAGCCGGTACATTTACGAAGCGGCGTGGCCTTTCAGGAGGGAGCAAGAGCGCAATAAGAGCGATCTTGCCTCTGTGCAGGGAACAAACGGAGGAGTGGAAGGGCTGGATGCAGTGGATCTTTATCTTTTATCATTATTATCGTGCGCGGTATATCTACAATGAAGTTCGAGTCTTCGTCTCCTCTTACGTCTGGATGACAGGCTTCGGGAATTTTCTCTACTTTGATAAAAAGGCTGACTTCTCTGTGATTCGAGTGGTGAGCATGTTGATTCGGATCAACTGGCTTCCTCTCTGGTTATGTTGCGCACTGGGAACCAGCTTGGAGTTATACTATGTCGTGCCACTACATACCGCGGGGTTCTTGATTACCTACGCAACATGTTATTTGCAGCAGCGAGTAGCGAAGAGTGTCGCCGAAGGTGCAGGAACCCAGGGCATCGCGCGTGCGTTTGGCGTGCTCGTCAGTTTCGCGCTTCATTATGTTTTCTTCGAGTGTGGATTTGTGCAACGATTTTTTTTCTGGTCTCATGAGCTCGAGTGGCGATTTACAGCGGACAGGTATACGGCTTTACAGGGTATCGCCTCAGCGATGCTGCTAAAGCCAGTCACACAACTGATTCAACGGCTCGAGGATATCGACCGCAAAGGCCTCAGGCTTTTCGCGCAATGCTGTCTGCAGCTCACGGGGCTCGCTCTGGTGCTGTTTTGGTACTTTGTGTGGGGTCACACGGATGACAAGCTGGCGTACAATGCGATGCATCCATATATTTTGATTTTTCCACTCGTTGGCTATGTTCTCATGCGAAATTCGCTCTCTTTTCTCACTGAGCGGTACTCCGTCATCATGGAGTTCCTCGGGAGAAACACGCTGGAGACTTATGTGCTACAGTTCCACGTCTTTATGTGCCGAGATGTGAAGCATATCTTAGCCCTCGTCCCAGGTGCAGAGAGCTCCCAGAGCGGTGAGTTGATGAAGGGCTTGAACATGTTTGCCTGTGGATCTATTTTCCTCACTCTTGCGGTGGCGGCAAGGCGGGCGACGGTGGTCACACAGGAATGCGTCGTCCAGTTGTTGGGTAGCCTGAGTGATTCAAGAGCGACGTCGCCTTTGAACGTGTCTGATCAGCAGGAGCGGCATAGGGCATCCGCCAAGGCTCCAGCAACTGAAGGTGAAAAGGGACAAGCCGTAGGGGCTCGGTCAGGTGTTCGAGCCATTGCCGGCTGTCTGCTTTTCCGTTGGGGCCTCTTGCTTCTGCTTGCTGTCTCCGGGCGGCTTGTCCCTTTTTTTGCATTCGTGAAGGGGTTGAAGGCCGACAGAGTCAGGGCGATAAAGGTGTTGTAGACCTTGCTGCCACGACGGATTGATAATTTGAGCGGGGTAGTTGTGTGGTCCAGTGCTGGAGAAGTGGATGACGATAAAGCAGATGTGGTGGTGGATCTCTCGAGAAGAGACGCCTCGACTATCGAGCGGCAGCGCCGCTTCTATTTACCTCAACCGCCCCGAAGGCGGGCCCGCTCGCACAATGTATGATGGCCCGGATTGATGCTGATGCACAAAGTGTATCTGTGGAAAGTGCTCGAATTGTTCGGACTCGTATCGCCTCAGCGGTGGATGTGAAAGCGCCTATTAATGTAGAGTATCATTCTCTCCTTCGTTTTTGTGTCGTGTTTATTCTCTCTATGAGTGGACACTTTACATTTTTGACCTGGGAAAAGATTTCATTTATTTACTTCTTGAACCGAATGAATCGGAACGAGCAGGCGAATGAATTTGGAGGGTGACGCGAAGTGGGAGGCTCTGCGGGGCTAGTGCGATCGCGATACCCCCTGGCGCTGCGAAGGAAATCTGGCCTGCTTTTGAAGCTTGTGCAGGGTTGCCATAACGCTCAAAACCGCCGCTCTTCGCTTTTTCCTCCAAATCTTTCCCCTCATCGATCCAAGGGAGCCAGGCCTGCGCTCGCACATCCTTCACTCCCATAGTCGAACACTTCAGGCCGACCTCCCCAAGAAGCGCACTCTGAAAGCCGAGCCGCTCAGCAGAATGCACGGAATCGCCCAGGGCCTTTCTTGTGGCGTTCGTTTTCATTTTCGTCAGAATTCAGAACCACACTACCCCAAACCACTCAAACTGAACCGCAGGCACCGACTGAGACGCGAGCGCGTCGCATGTTTCTCACGTACGCGCTTTTCTGGAACGCTCGCGCCCCTCCTTTATTTTGTTCGAGTGTTCGCCCCCTGCTGGTAACGTAACGCGTCTACAGTTTGCCCTAAGTGTGTAGAGCTGGCAGCTTATTCTTAGAGCTTCCGGCACTGGTACAGCCATGAACTGAAGGCTCGCGCTTTCGTGTCTCAATGTGATGCGTCTCTGTCTTTCGTGGTGTCTCAGGTTGAAGCTGTTCCATAGTGCGGCCTGTGGGCACCTGGGCCGGCAGTGAAGTACAAAAGACAACCAAGAGGCGGGGGAGGTGTCCACGGTGTTCAATATGCGAAAGCGCCTGGCGGTCATTGTTTCCCTTTTCAGCAACCGCGTGGACATGACTGAAAACCCCCAAGATCTGGGCACACTCTTCCAAATGAGAAACGGCGAAGCCCAAGCACTGCCGCGGCGGGGGTCTTTCGCTTGCTTTTGGGTCTAGTTTTTCACCTTTTGCCCTCTTTTCCTTACCTGCGCTCTGGCCACTGCCAGGGCTCAAGCTGATGGCAGGGCTTTCGCTGTGCTCGTCAGTCTCTCGCTTTTATTGGCTGCGCTTTTGTTTACTTTTCTGCCGGTCCCTTGGGTGGGCACGGGGGGCAGCCTGTGGCGGTGCAAACCCGCCCGCCGTGCCTGCGTGCTCCCCTCTCCTTGTGCCCCTTCTTTGGCCCCCCTCATCCGGGGGCGGTGGGGCCGGGCGCTCCCGCAAAATGGGGCAGCTGCTCCGCTGCCTTTGGGTTGGTGTGTCGTTTTTTGTCCGCCGGCCCCTCTGCAAGCGTTGAGAGAAAAGCCTGGCACCACCAGACCAGCCCAGCCCACACGCCCAGCCCGAGCCGTGTCCTGCGTTGGGCTGGACTTGTCTGGTGGTATCGTATGGGCTGGGCTTGGTGTCTGGACTGGAGTGGACTGGAATCGAATGGGCCTGGGAGCCGAACTGGATGAGGGGCTGGCTCGCTCTATTCTATATCTCTGCGCAGACTACTCCAGTCTAGCCACACCCGCACCGGACCGGCTTGGTCTCGCAGGGCCATCGCTCTGAGCTGAGGAGCTGGGCTCGTTTTATATTTATAACGCCCAGAGAGGTGAAGCTATAGCATACGCCCGCCTTAGCCCGCTCCAGTCGACGTTGCGTTATGCGTGTGACATATATCCAGCTCCCGCCTTGTCTTGCGCCGGTCTCTTCTGGGCTGGACTGGAGTGGAGTGGAGTGCCTGGACTGAAATCACATAGGTCTAGCAGCACAGTCGGACTTACTGCGGGCTTTGTGTCCCCTCGTCGAAGCCAGTCGCGCCACTCTCGCGACCGCATTACTTGAGGGGGGGGCTTTATATATATGCACCAGGGAGGGAGGCCCCCGCGTCACTCTGTGGATGGATCTGTGGTGGACCACGCCAGAGGGGTCCAGCCTTGCCACCTTTGCCCGGTCTGTAGGGTTGGGCACATGCAACACGCCAGAGGGATCCACTCTTGCCACCTTTGCCAGGTCTGTAGGGCTGGGCACATGCAGCACGCCAGAGGGGGCCAGCCTTGCCACTTTTGCCAGGTCTGTCGGGTACATGCAGCACGCCAAGAGGGTGGGCCCCGCCCTGCCTCCTCTGCCAGCTCTGTCGGGTACCTGCAACACGCCAGAGGGCTCTGGCCTTGCCATCTTTGCCAGGTCTGTAGGGTACACGCAGCGCGACAAGGGGGCCCAGCCTTTGCTGCCTTTCTTTGCCAGGTTTGTCGGGTACCTGCAACACGCCAGAGGGCTCCAGCCTTGCCATCTTTGCCAGGTCTGTAGGGTACACGCAACATGACAAGAGGCCCCAGCCTTGCCACCTTTGCCAGGTCTGTCGGGTACATGCAACAAGCCAGCGGGGCCCTGCCTTGCCTCCTTTGCGTGCCAGGTCTGTCGGGTACCTGCAACACGCCAGAGGGCTCCAGCCTTGCCATCTTTGCCATTGTAGGGCACACGCAACACGACAAGAGGGCCCAGCCCTTGCCACCTTTGCCAGGTCTGTAGGGTACACGCAACAAGCCAGCGGGGCCCTGCCTTGCCTCCTTTGCCAGGTCTGTCGGGTACACGCAACACGACAAGAAGGCCCAGCCTTTGCCACCTTTGCCAGCTCTGTAGGGTACACGCAAGAAGCGGGAAGCGGTCAGAAGTGGGCGCTTTGAGGCCTTCCCGCCTGGCAGCCCCTCGAAAAGAGGGCCCGGGGCTGGGGGCCCCCCGTAAGGTGGACCGAACGCAGTAGAGCTTTCCGCCAGACCATAGTCCCACCGCTCACATCCCCCGAATATAAGTGCGATTCCTTCTTGCTCTTCTTCCATGCGTGACGCAAAATGCGTCACGCGTGACACAAAACGCCACGGCCGACCCATGGGCCCAACCGGGTCGATCATGGGCCCACATGGATCGACTGTGGGCCCACATGGTTCAAGCGTGGGCCCATGGGTCAAGCGTGGACCCATGGCGCAAGCGTGGGCCCATGGATCAAGCGTGGGCCCATGGATCAAGCGTGGGCCCATGGATCAAGCGCGGGCCCATGGGTCAAGCGTGGGCCCATGGGTCAAGCGTGGGCCCATGGATCAAGCGCGGGCCCATGGATCAAGCGCGGGCCCATGGGTCAAGCGTGGGCCCATGGGTCAAGCGTGGGCCCATGGATCAAGCGTGGGCCCATGGATCAAGCGTGGGCCCATGGATCAAGCGCGGGCCGATGGATCAAGCGCGGGCCCATGGGTCAAGCGTGGGCCCATGGATCAAGCGTGGGCCCATGGATCAAGCGTGGGCCCATGGATCAAGCGTGGGCCCATTGATCAAGCGTGGGCCCATACATAGATAAAGCGTGGACCCATGGGGCAAGCGTGGACCCATGGATCAAGCGTGGGCCCATGTATCGATCGACACCGGGCCCCGGGATCTTCCGCGGCCACCCGAAACCAACACGGAGAACATCCATCGCGCGCGCGACGCTAGCGGCATGACTGACAACCACAAGAAGAGCCAGAAGAGGCGCCCTATCTTACTTAGTAAGTCTGCCAGGTAAGGCATCCTGTAGGCAAGATCAAGATCAACCAAGATACTGATCGAGTTTGTGAAGAATCACCATAAGGATCCACCTGGATCCCTATGCTGCTGGTTCTGATTTCAGTCGCCCCCGCCTATGTTCCTGGTCCTTTGTATGTTCCTCCCATGGTATGAAGATCCCCACCAGAATGACAAACCGCACCAAGGTCCCAACGGTTCCCAGGTTCCCCGAGTAGTTTCATCATCATCATCATCATCATCATCATCATCGTCATCATCTTAGTAGTAGTCACCATCTTCATGCGTATCCTAGTGGTAGCCGTGTCATCTTTCTCACCCGCAGGCTGGTAATAGTGACCCGAGTAATTTCCCTGACTTGCATGCGTGTGGTAGTGGTTTCCAGTGTGTTCATTCTAGTGGTGTAAATGTTTGGTCGGTATTCAGTCGGTGGACATTGCTAACGCATCCACATACTAAAAAGCCACAACGTTACGGCCAGCCAACGCGTAACCCATCTACCTCCCTCCACACCCCTGCGCATCGCGCTCGGGGCGTTCGTGGCTGCCTATACACCTACATCGCGCCGCCGTTCTTCTTCACCTTTTTCGCGGCTCGCTTGCCCTTCTCGGCCACCTTTTTCGGGTTTTTTCGCTGCTCCTCGGCCTCCTCCTTTTTCCTCGCGCGGTGCCTGGCGTTCCTTTCTGCGTTTTGCTTCCGCCGCGTGTCATCGGAGACCTTGGCTTTTGTTGCTGCTGCCGCCCTCTGCTTTGCGCGTCGCTTCTGCTGGCGTTGCCTGGCAAGCTGTCGCGTCCGCTCTTCAGCACTGAGAGAGCACGCCCCCCGTCTGACTCTGGCAGAGACCAGCAACACCGGCAGCGCCCTCACCTTTCACCTGGGGCGCCTCGGTCGACTTTGTGGCAGCCGGCACGTTGCTCACGCTTGTGGTGTTCCCATGTGTCTGCTCTGCTTTGGCAGTCTTTAACAGCGAGCCCCGGGCGACGAAATGCGAAAACGGTCGCAACTCATTCACCTTCTTCCCCACCTTTGGCCTCGCCTTTTCTGCTTTTTTTGTTAGAAAACGGCCGAGGGCTGTCGTCTCCTCTTACCTGCTTACTTCGATACACCTCAGAGGCTATAGACTGAGAGACACAAAATAAAGAGACAACAACCCCCCAGCCTTCCCTTCTTCTCCTGCTCGCTTCTCCACTTCCGAGATCGCTCGGCTGCCTTCGTCGTCGCGATCCTCCGAACACGACCCGCCCGAGCGAAAGACCGCAACCGGCGCGCCAGCTTTCTTTCGTGGATTGCGGCTCTCCGGCTATCGAGTTGGTTTACATGCAGCACAGAGCTCGCGCCTTTCTTTTCCGCTTTTTTTCTGCGGGTTTCCCGCTCGCGAGCTTGGTCCCCTCGTCCCCGACGCGATGCCGCTACGCGGCCCGCCTCGCGCTTTTTTCTTTCAGACGGAGCCCACCCCTTGAAGATGAGCGGCCCCACCATGTTCGAGACACTTGCCGCAACAGTCGCGAGCGCTTCCGCCTGTGTGTGCGCTGCTGTGGGCCACCTCCTCAGAAGTGCCGCGCCCATCTTCATGAAGAGGAGGCCGCTGAGCTTAGTCCCCAACAGCAGCCGGGTCTGGCGGTAAACACTGGCGCCCAACGTGCCGACTTCCCGACGGAGCGCCTCGCTTCCAGCAGTGCCCATTCCGTGTCCGTGCGCTTCAAATAAAGGCGGCACCTCCGTGAGGCGGAGACTGTGGCTGCGTAAAAGAGCTGTAATGGTCGCACTGTGCCGGCAGAAGGTCGGGGAGCTTCTTCCCACTCCGTTTGTCTTTGCGGCCAAGTTTTTCGCCCTCCGCTATTGCGACGACCGAGACGGCGCCGAGCTTCTTCCCAAAGTTTCTCGCCGTGACCTCAGTAGACGAGTCCCGTAAGAGCTCGCGGGCGTCTTCAGCTGACAGACTGACACCCTCCGCACATTCTGCGCGG